AGCGTGCAGCTACTGCCGATACGGTTTCTGTGCAATGTGTTGCTAAATTAAAACATGCGGTGCACAATGACACCTTGTCACATTCATTTTCGTAAGTGTTTTATTAATAGAACAAAATTTAAAATCAACATTACCATTGAATCTCTTCTATAAGGTTGCCGGTCCATGACAAAATAAAAAATCGGTTAAATAGTCCTTCAGCCCTAAAAGATTAAAAACCACTAGTGTACATCGTCATGAATCAGCCCAAAACATAACAGAAAACGTTGTTCACTACTTTCATCATCATCATCATTACAGCCCTTCACAAGTCCACTGCTGAACATAGGGCTCCCCCAAGTAATGCCACAAAGCACGGTCCTGAGCCACCTGCATCCATCGACTTCCTGCATGTCTTACCAGGTCGTCACTCCATCTAGTGGGGGGTCGCCCTACACTACGCCACCGGTACGAGGCTGCCACTCGAGAACCTTTCTTCCCCATCGGTTATCGGTTCTTCGAGCTATATGGCCGGCCCATTGCCACTTCAGCTTACTAATCCGTTGGGCTATGTCGATCACTCTGGTTTTACTGCGGATATCCTCATTTCTGAGTCTATCACGCAGAGAAACTCCAAGCATAGCCCTCTCCATAGCTCGCTGAGCGACCTTAAGCGTCCTCATACGGCCAGCAGTGAAGGACCACGTCTCAGATCCGTAAGTCATCACTGGCAACACGCACTGGTTGTACAATCTAGTTTTTAGAGATTGAGGTATACCTGACGAAAAGATATGTCGTAATTTCCCGAACGCTGCCCAGCCGAGTTGAATCCGTCGATTGACCTCTCGGTCGAAGTTGGACTTACCTAGTCGGACTATTTGTCCCAGGTAAACGTACTCGTCAACAACTTCGAGCATAGTGCTCCCAACAACTACCGGCATAGGTGTGACATGGACATTAAACATGATCTTTGTTTTGTCCATGTTCATCTTAAGACCTATCCGTTGGGAGGCACTATTGAGGTCATTGAGCATAATGCTTAAGTCCTCCAGCGATTCTGCCATAATGACTATATCGTCGGCAAATCGAAGGTGAGTGATGTACTCGCCATTGATGTTAATACCGTATCTTTTCCACTCCAGTAGCTTGAAAACGTCTTCCAACGCAGCGGTGAAGAGTTTCGGGGATATAACATCACCCTGTCTTACACCTCTCTGCATTTGGATAGGTTTCGAACTCTGGTTCTGTACTCGGATAGCCATCGTAGCCCTACTGTACAAACACTTCAGCACTTCGATGTACCGACAGTCAACTTGGCACCGCTGAAGGGACTGTAGCACCGCCCAAATTTCGACGGAATCAAAGGCTTTCTCATAGTCCACATATGCCAGGCAAAGTAGCAGATTGTACTCTTCGGTCTTCTGTACAATCTGCCGCAGGGTATGTATGTGGTCTATGGTACTGAAGCCTTTTCGGAAACCGGCTTGTTCGGGAGGCTGGAAGTCGTCGAGTCTGCGTGCGAGACGATTCGTAATGACTCTCGAAAATAGCATGTAGACGCGGCTCAGAAGGGAAATCGGTCTGTAGTTCTTCAAGAGAGCGTTGTCGCCTTTCTTAAAGAACAAAACCACCGCGCTTCTGCTCCACGCCTCCGGAGTAGTGCCACCATGGAGGACGGAATTGAAGAGCTTCTGAAGGACTTCAAGTACCGGTGTTCCACCCGCTTTCAGAAGCTCCGCTGTAATTCCATCCTCGCCTGAGGCCCTGCCGTTTTTAAGGTGCTGGAGAGCCATTCTAATTTCGCTCAGACTGACGTCCGGGATATCATCGGAATAGTGTCGGATAAGACTTGCTCTTGGATCGTTACTCACACTTGCGTGTGGCTCCAACGATGATGTGTACAGCTGCCCATAGAACCTCTCAATCTCACTCAAAATCTCAGGTGTCCCGGAAACGATGTTGCCACACTCAGTCTTCAGCTTTGACAGTTGGCTCTTTCTGGCAGACAGATCTCTGGCAAAGACTTTGGAGCCCTGGTTCCGCTCGATCGCTTCTTTAATACGAGAAGTATTAAAGTTGCGTAAGTCTCGCCGCATGCATTTGGAGATCTGTCTGTTCAGTTGCCTGTATGCTGTCAAATCTGTTGACGATTGCAGCCTCATCTCCCGTCTAACAGCCATGAGATTAAGAGTGTGATCGGAGAGTTTTTGTGTTCTTCTGCGGCGGGTCTTGCAGAACTTAGCTCCGACCGCATGGACAGTTTCCACGAGCTTGTCGTTCATATCGTCCACTGCATTGCAATCTTCTAGGCACTGGAAGCGGTTACGTAACTCGAGCTGAAAGGTTTCGGGATTCTGGATTAGAGCACGAGGGGGACGGAGCGTTGACTTCATTAGACGAGACCTCTCCAACTTAACGTTTAGGTTCAGTTTGCCTCTAACCATTCGGTGATCGCTGCCAGTTTTCACCCTTGCGATCACTGAGACATCACTGAACAGTTGGCTTCTGGTCGTCATAATGAAGTCAATCTCATTTTTTGTCGAACCGTCGGGGCTCGACCAGGTCCACTTCCTGTGGGGCCGCTTCTGGAAGAAAGAGTTCATCATAAAGAGTCCCTCTTTCTCCATAAAGTCGGCCAGCTGCTGGCCCCTTCGGTTCCGTTGCCCTACTCCAAATTTCCCTACCTTCAGCTCACCGCTTTCTCTTGTGCCTAGTTTTGCGTTGAAGTCTCCCATCAACACCGTGTAGTGAGTTTTGGAGAAATGTATGGCTCTGGAGATATCCTCATACATTTCCTCCACCTCCTCATCGGGATGTGCCGAGGTTGGTGCGTAAACCTGAATGACCTTCAGCGAATACCGTTTGGTGATTCTGAGTATCAGGTACGCGACCCTCGTCGACACACTCCCAATCTTTACAACGTTGTTGACGAGAGACTTGTGGACGATAAATCCGACACCTCCTTGGGACTGATGGTCGCCCTCCCGGTGATAGAACAAGTTGCCGGACTCGAGGATTGCCGTGTCCTCCCCCTCTCTTCGGACCTCGGATAATCCAATAATATGCCAGCGCAACTTGTCTACCTCTTCTTCCAGCTCTAGTATCTTCTCGTCAGTCCTCAGGGTGCGTGCGTTATATGTTGCCAGGTCGAGTCGTCGTAGGTGGCAACCGAACCTCCACCGGAGATTCTTAGCACCCCCTGCCCCGCCGTTACCATGGTCGCCACCGTAGCCAGGAATAGCGGGGCCGCCGGGGACTGGGGGCCGTCTGTTTGTGTATTTATTCATTGGGGGGGTATTTGCCATAGTTGCCACGCTTGGCGAGCGGGTTGGCAACCGCAGTTTTTTATTACGTCACAGTTGTTATCAGGAAGATGCTGCTGCCCATCTCCTGCCTGTCTCCCTCTGTCGCCTTTTACGACACTCACGGGAAGATATGGGGTAGTGGATATTCTCAACCGCCACTACACGGCAATTTTGAAAACACAAAATTGAAAAAGTTCACTACTTTATCAACGTTTAATGCCTAAGAAATAATATCGATGGAATAAGTTTCACGTTACATCAAACTTCTATCGAGATCAATTTTAATTTAAATTCCCTCGAGCCGCTTCTTTTCATCGCATAAGCTCGCTTCAATTTACTGATTACGGTTCACATGACATTATAATATATTAAGAAAATATCAAGTTCAAAGCAAATTATCGGAATGATTTCATAATTTTAATCACGTGTTTTCTAGTTCTAATATATTATACGTAACGCAAAGGCTAATTATGTATTCTTTTCAATTGAAAATACTTTATTATAGTGCCTAAAACTATTTTATACATCGTATAGCCACACTGCAGCAATATTATGTTTGTAGTAAGAATCGGGTCGGCTCGACCGGGGTAGGACCACGCTCTCACAGACTACCAGCGTAAAATACAGCTTAATGCTGTGTTCCGTATGGTAAACGTAGAGAAACATAAACCCGTTCTAATGAACACGAGGCATTGCACATTAGTCCTCAGGAGTTGTCACCTGCAGTCTTTATTTATGTCGTTATTAGTAAGACGCTGCCGCCCATCTCCTAAATTTTTTTTTCTGTCGCCTCTTACGACACCCACGGTAATAAACACGGTAGCAGAAACATAGTGTTTCGAGGAATTAAAGGCTGAACCGGCCGACCAGGCCTAGCGATTTTTTTCTTTTGAATGTTGAGTTTGGTAGAATATAAAGATATAAAAATAACAATACTACGTTTTTTCAGTCTGACTATTCATGGAAAAAAAAACCTGTGGTCCCCTATATCAGTGTTCCGCAAACTTTTTGTGTTCAAGCTACACCTAGGAAAACAAAAAAAAATTGAGGTACACCACAAATTAAAACACAGTTTTTAAGTAATATTAATAAAATAAACTTTTATTATTGATCAACAAACCTAACCTTTACATTTCAGAAAAGGTATTAAATGCGAAACATGAGACTGTTTAATTGAGCATAGACGGTCTAAATTTGTAGTAATCGCTGACAAGGCTGCTCTCATTTCTTCGTCTATCGTCCTGAGGCGTTCCCTTTTTTTGGTTTTTATTGTGGTAAGAGTCGAAAATCCTAATTCACTCAAATAGGTCGTTGCAAACGGCAAAAATATTGCAATAGCATGCTTAGAAAGCAGAAGATATTCATTTTTCACACGTAGCCAAAATTGTTCTAAATCTGTTTCAGAAAATTTAAATTTTAATGTGCGATCCGTTTTCGTTTCCATCAGTTCTTCCTGCTCATTTATTGGTAAGTGGCCGAAAGGAACGTTCTCGGAGAATGGATTTCGTACCCAGTCCATAGATTGCAGATCACGCTTAGGGAAATAAAAATTCATTTTCTCTGCAAGAAGCTTTAAGCGTTTGACAATTAAAGCCTGCACCCTTTTTTCTGCATCAGCTGCCATGAAATTTGGGAACATTTGATTATTACCATTCGTAGCGAGACTGATCCATAGTTCCAATTTAGCGCGAAAGCGTTCAATTTTATCCGACGATGTCAAAATATTGGAATTTCTGCCTTGCATTTTTTACTGAGCTCATTTAAGTGAGCAAATATATCCGTCCGATATGCAAGTTTTGCTAGCCATTCTTCTTTTTTAAATAAATGTGCATAATCTGAACCTTGGGACTGCAAAAACATCTCAGTCTCATTTTTCAACTCATAAATTCGGGAAAGTACGTTGCCGCGAGAAAGCCATCGTACACCTGTATGAAACAAAAGCGACTGATGATCTGCCCCCATTTCTTGACATAGTGCATTAAAAAGACGAGAGTTCAGCGGTCGCGACTTGATGTAATTGATGATTTCTTGAAGAACGCGCAGTAGATCTTCAGGCAGAGACTTCATCATAAGAGCTTCCCTATGTAAAAAACAATGCTGTTTTTGAACATTAGGATTTTTTTCAGAAACCTTAGCTATAAAGCCTTTAACCTTTCCTGTCATAGCCGCTGCGCTGTCTGAGCAAACACTTATACAGTTATGCCATTCCAAATTATGCTCATTGAAAAATTCGTCCGTTACTTTAAATATTTCTTCACCAGTTGTATGGTTAGGCAGTGGCAGACAAAATAAAAAGTCCTCTTTTAATTCACATCCATCAATGTATCTAACATTTGATATGAGATTCGCGTGACCACTGATGTCAGTGGACTCATCAACTTGTAGCGCAAAAACTCCACTAAATCTCAAGTTCTCAATCAACGTCGATTTAATGTCATTAGATATGTCATTGATTCGACGTGAAATAGTTTTTGCCGATGCAGGTATTTTTTCAATTTCTTTAGCAGCTTCTTGGCTGATCATTATCTTGACAATTTCTTTGCAGACAGGTAAAACTACAGTTTCAGGAAGAGATTGCGGCTTTTTAGCTTTAACTAACATATTAGCAACTACGTAGCTTGCTTTTTGTGCTTTCTCTGAGGTTTTGAAAGACGAACTCATGAGATTTACCTGCTCCTTCGATTGGTCCTTCAAACGTTGAAAATACGTTTTGTCTTTTTGGGCTACTGATGGGTGTTTAGTAGTTAAATGTCGTATTAGTTTACTGGGCACCATCGAATTATTACCCAACGTTTCTCCGCAAACAGGACATTTTGGGGTAGGACAAGATTCGTCTCCGCAATATGTAAAACCGTAATTTATGTAGATTTCGTCATATTTTCGATGAACAATTTTGGGTTTCTTTTTCATTGACTCTTTTTCTTCTTCATTAATTTCATCTGACAAACTTACACTACGTTTAATGAATTTATCCATTATTTTAATACTTATATTATGCTTAGAATAATAAGCATAACAATACGCGACGAAAAAAAAGCGTGCGGTGAATTTAAACGGCGCACTCGTACACGTACTCAATACTGACAGACTGGTGACCAGAGAGTTCGGGTAGCGGGGCGGGGAGCCTCCGTCCTCGCCTCCCGCGACGCGCCGGCCGCCACCGCCTGCGCCTAACGAAACCACAGACAGAATTAGACGAACGAAACAAAGTGCCTCGCTCGTGCGCTCGCGTGATTTGTGTAGATATTTTACTTTGTACGTAAGGCCATTTTATCTTTAGGCAATTCAGTCATTATGTTTGGAGATTTTAACTCCAAGCATACTGAATGGACATGCCGTACCACGTCCCATAGTGGCAAGATACTGCTCGATATCACGCAGTCTCTTGATATTACCGTCCATAGTCCCCTCGGTGTTACTCACTTTCCCGATAACACCGAGCACGCCCCCGATGTACTAGATTTTGCGTTACTCCAAGGAGTTTCTCTTAACCTCAGAGCTATCGAGACACTAGACGATCTAGGATCCGATCACCGACCGGTCTCCCTCATTCTTGGCCATCAGCCACCTCCCCCAACACACACGAAAACCTTCACTAACTGGAAGGGTTTCAAGGAGTCCCTAACTAAAGCTCTGGACTCACAGGACTCTACCACCTCCCTACCGTCGGACTTAGACAGTCCCGATAAAATCGACACCGCGGTCGATTCACTCTCAACCCTTATTAAATCCTCCCTTAAGGAGAACGAAAGGGTCGTCCCGGTTGCTAACAATAGTGGGCTTCCCTTAGCAACCTATTAAAAGCCAAAAAAGCTGCTTTCCGGAGAGCAGCAAAATATCCCACCCCCGAATATAGGCACGCGGCCAGTCGTCTTCAACGAGAACTCCGTTTCCGCCTCTCTGAATTTCGAGACCTCGAAAAGAGTAAACTCATGGAGAATATCTCTCCATCTCATACAGCGTACTATCAGATGGCCAGAGCCCTCCGCATAGACGCTATCACCCACACTCCCCTTCTCTCCCGCCCCGACGGCACGGTTGCCTTCGAGGACGAGGAAAAGTCTGAGTGCTTTGCAGACAGCATTGCCGCTCAATGCTCTCCTAGCTTTCAACCCGTCGACAACTGTGATTGAGAGTTGCCGAAAGAGGCAACTGTGATTGGAATTCCCAAGCCAGGCAAGCCTCTCAACCTCCCCTCCAGCCATCGCCCCATTAGCCTCCTCAAGGCAATGGGCAAGCTCTTCGGAAGAGTCATCCAAACGCGTATGAGGTGCTATCTGTTTCCCACAGACGGCGACCCTCTTATCATTCCCCATGAGTTCGGTTTCCGAGCCAAAAACTCATGTCCCCAACAAGTTCACCGCATTGTGGAATATATCCTCAGCGGTTTCTATCCTCATCGTCATAAGACCATCGCGGTCTTTTTCGATATAGCTAAAGCTTTCGATAGAGTCTGGCACACAGGCCTCATCTACAAGCTTTACGAAATAGGTCTCCCCCGATCGTCTAGTTCGTCTCGTGGCCTCCTACTTAAAACATCGTACCTTTCGTTTTAGACACGAAGGCACGCTATCTTCACAGCGAACTATCAAGGCTGGTGTCCCTCAGGGCTCAGTACTTGCTCCTCTGCTGTACATCCTGTTCACCAACGACATTCCCATCCCGTCGAAAGGTGTTCAACTCTCCCTCTTTGCAGACGACACTGCCATCTACTGCAAAGGTGTCTCACTACCCTTCATACGGAACAAGATCCAAAAGTCAGTTGATGACCTAGGAGCTTGGTTCAAAAAATGGCGCATCGATGTGAACCCGGAGAAGAGCTCTGCCGTTCACTTCGATTATAAACGACGCTGTCTCAAAAACACTCCACCAATACGTATGCTAGGGACCCCTGTCCCCTGGCAAACGTCCGCCAAATATTTAGGTGTCAATCTAGACACAGGGCTCACTTTCAGGCCCCACGTCAAAAGAGTAACCCGTCATGCACGGTTTTATCTGAGTAGGCTCAACAGTATGTTGGGCCGACACAGTAAAATGTCCCTTCGAAACAAGCGTACCCTTTACAAGGTCTGTATACGACCAGTCATGTCCTACGCGGGCCCCGTCTTTGCCCACGCAAACCCTAATATTATAAATGAACTCCAAATAGTTCAGAACCTCTTCTGTCGTCGAGCTGCGAACGCACCTTGGTACGTCCGTAATGCCGACCTTTATCGGGACTTAGAGCTCCCAACAATTCAACAATTTCTTAAAAAACTCTCTGAGAACTTCTTCAAAGCCTCAGAGTCGCACCCAAACCAATTAATTCGTGAGGCAGCTTCTTATGCAGCCCCCCCTCTCGCTATCGTGTCCGCAGGCCGAGAAACTCTCTCTCGTACCCGCCTAATAAACTGTCAAACGACTTGAACTGTCTCCTGGCGGCTCAGGCCAATTAAATTAAATTATTGTATTAACTAACTTTCATTTGCCTTCAGAGGCACTCCCTCAGCGGCTCTTAGCCGCCTGCGCCCTCTTTTCCCAAAAGAGGGTCGCTCATGATAAGGCACAATACAGCTTAATCAGCCGGCTGCCTGTCCCCAAAGGCGGTTTTTAGAGGGTATCACTTAGGGTCCCCGGTAGGACAGTGAGCCCCTCATAACCACGATAGACCGGCTATCGTGGTATGCGTAATGCATTTTCCGCTTCCCTACGTATAGGTTAGCACTTTAATTGCTTCGGGCGCAAAAAAAAATGTAAATAGGGCTCTATCATATAATGTAAGCTTCCGGTCAATTAAACCAATATAATAAAAAATTTAAGGCTTAGATGGGTCAACGAAAAAGGGCAAAAGTAAAATGCAGCACTGAAAATTAAATTGAATTTCACTGTAAAGGTGTTCCGCAAGAACCCGCAAGCTCGGTCTAATGAGTCCCGATCCCTACTTTGTTTCCCTTTAAGATTAAATCATAGATTGCGAAAAACCTGACCCGCGTTAAAATTAGTTTGATAGCTGTAGCCACTGATTAAAACTTTGGTAAAAATTAACCCCTTACAAATTAGAAAATTGTAACCCATTAAACTTGATATACAAATATAATAACAACAAAAACAATTACATCCATAATATAGCTGCAGTATGCCTCTACCACATTGATGACGTCGATCATTTCATGATATCGGTGACGGTTTAGCTTTCATTGAGATTTCAAACAAATAAAAAGCTTAAATGATCCCCAGTTAGAATTTAATGTTTATGTTTCACTTCAAGACCAGGTAAGACATTTTATATGTATAACAAAGGTGACAAATAAGCACTTATTCTCGATTAAGAATCAACATGCAGATGCAATATCAACCATGTGAACTAAGATGGAATACCTCATATCCAGTGAAAAGGGTCTCCGGTTCTACACACTTACTATACAAAACACAGCAGCATCAGGCTGCCATTTTACTGGTGTTCAGTGGGAGCATGGTATTACCCCGGTCAAGCCCCCCCTCCACATTCGAATTACAACCGTAATGTTGCTCCACGTGGAGAACTGGAGACAAACTCTCTCCACTCACCATACGAAACACGCCAGCATCAGGGTGCTTTTTGACGCTGGTATTCTGAAAGAGTGTGGTCCTTCCCCGGTCGAGCCGACCCATTCATGCTACTACCATTATATAGCTGCAACATATAACGTATACTGCTCTACCACGTACAATACTACTATTAATACACGATTATAGAAGGTTTGGTCTAATAGATCAAGTCACTCTCAGAGATACTTTTAGAGAGAGATTTAGATATATAGTTAAATACACATAATCAGACAATTATGAATTCACATAAACAATAATAAAAGATTATCTGTTCTTAATACCCACCCTGAGAACTAATGAGAAGGTCCTGGAGCTGGAAGAAGAGATAGACAAGTTGCGCTGGAACATTATAGGATTATCCGAGGCACGAAGAGAAGAGGAGAACCCGGTGATTCTCAAATTCAGCAACTTGTTCTCTCACCGAGAGGGCGATCATGCGTTTAAGGTACACATATTTCTTCAAAGCGTTAGATTGAGCAATACCAAATAAATTTTGAAAACTATTGTGAAAATATAACGTAAGTATTTTGGCTGAAAACTCAGCGTTATTATTTCGAGGTGAACGACCAGAAAATTTAATTAAAATTAAAGTTTCAAGTTTTAAGAATGTTAAATTAATAAATTATTCTTTATGCCTTTATGAAACAGTGGAACTCAAATTATTAAAAATTATATTACTTTTTTGTTTGTTTTAAAATATTCCACTTGGATTTTATCCTCCACTGTGATGAGATGCGTTTTACATATATAAAGTCCACATGGACAAACATATACCCCGATACAATAGTTAGTATTCCCCTATCGGTCCGCAGACAAAATGCTAAGCCACCGCGTTAACGAGATGCCAAAATAAGATTAATATTTACTAAAATGATCTAAAGACATACTATCTAATATAATATAAAAAAAAATTATAAATATTTACGGAAAAGCGCCACACGAAATCATCCTCAAAATTATATGCTCGGCTTAGGCATAGATATACCTATAATTAGGAAATTACTGAAACTGACATCAGTTTAAAGTTATCGTGAGATATTTTTTGCAAAAAAAAAACATTTGTTACATACAAATGTTATAGTCGTTTATCATCGTCATCATTACGTCTCGTCACAAGTCCACTGGTGAACACTGGCCTCCTCCGATGACTGTCACAAAGCACGGTCTTGAGCCACCTGCATCCTTCGAATTCCTGCATATCATACCAGGTCATCTCTCATACTTCATACTCGATCTAGTGGAGGGCCGCACTACACTTCAGTCACCAGTACCAGGTTGCCACTTGAGAATCCTTCTCCCTGTTGGTTGTCGGTTCTCTGAGCTATATATAACTAGCCCATTGCTACTTGAGCTTACTAATCCATTGGGCTATGTCGTTTACTCTGGTTTTATTGCGTAGTCGTAGGTTC